GTAAAAAAGCTTGTAGTTTTTTCCAACTAAGCAGTAAAAGGAATTAATGTAAAGTGATAAATAAAGAGTTCTATGAATCATATTTAATATAGGGAAAATGTGCAGCCAGGGTGCAAACAATGTTTTGCTGCCTATTAAAAATAAAATCAAATACACTGAAACAGAAATCATATCCCAGAAGCCCAAATAACTGGGGGATTCTTAAGGGGTTTAACATAGTTTATGCTTTTCAGCTAAATTCTTGAAATGATAGTGACAGTGATGTAAAGGCCGTGCTGCTTTTTCTGTTTAAAGTTAGGTTTATTAAGGTATAACTTTCATACAGTAAAATTCACTCTTCTTAGTATACACTCTATGAATTTCAAAAGACACATTCAGGCCAGGCGTGGTGGCTCACGCCTGTAATCCTAGCACTCTGGGAGGCCGAGGCGGGCGGATTGTTTGAGCTCAGGAGTTCGAGACGAGCCTGAGCAAGAGCGAGACCCCGTCTCTACTAAAAAAATAGAAAGAAATTGGCTGGACAACTAAAAATATATGGAAAAATTAGCCTGTCATGGTGGCGCATGCCTGTAGTCCCAGCTACTCGGGAGGCTGAGGCAGAAGGATTGTTTGAGCCCAGGAGTTTGAGGTTGCTGTGAGCTAGGATGACGCCATGGCACTCTAGCCTGGGCAACACAGTGAGACTCTGTCTCAAAAAAAAAAAAAAAAAGACACATTCAGTCACGGAGCCACCATCACCATCAGTTCCAGCCCTGGGCAACCACTGATCTGTTTTCTGTTCCTATAACTCTGCCTTTTCCAGAATGTCACAGAAATGGAAACATACAGTACATAGACTTTTGACTCTGGCATAAATATTTGTGTATAGGTTTTTATGAGAACATAAGTTTTCATTTTTCTGGGATAAATGCCCAGGAGTGCAATCGCTGGGTTAAGTGGTAGTTGCATGTTCATTTGGTAAAGAAGCTACCAAACTGTTTTCCAGAGAGGCTGCACCATTTTACACCCCCACCAGCTATGTATGAGTGATTCAGCTTTGAATTTTTTGGTAAATTTCAGTGTTACACTGCTGAAAGTGTCTGATTAACTAAGTTTCAAACGTATGCTCTGTTAAAAATGTTTTATTTCTGCAAGTGTTATAAGGAACAACATTCTAATATAAATTAAGTCACTTACAAAAGGGAAAAGAAAAAAAAATCATGTTGACCTTATTCTTTTCCCCCAGAAACTTTATACATCAGAAAACAATGGAGTAATCATGTTTACAAAGTTCTGGGGGAGAAAACATGCGACTCAGGACTATCTAGCCAATATTCCACTCAGGCCACCTAACAGACAAGGGATCTCTGTGAATAGGGTACCAGCACCACGAGGCCTGAGAAAAAGCAAAGCAAAGTAAAGCAAACAAAGAAAAAACTCTATAATGAAATCCATCCAACCCATAAACAAATTGAAATGAAGAACAGAGTGGGAAAATTGTAATAAAAAATGGTGGTGAGTGTTGCATCCACTCAATTATAGACTTACAACCAAAAAACTAGGAGACACATAGTTATGACACAGATGTACCTGTATATATAAACCCTGAAAAGTAACAATAATACAGAAACATACATAATCACGAGAACACGGTGGAGACGGAGGTAAAAATCATAATCAGCTCGTTTTTCATTAAAAAGAGTCATTAGTGCCCTAAACTGAAATTTATATTAAATATATGATTTCAGTCTCTTAATGATTTTCATTAAGATGTTGAAATTATACTTAATACACATACAATGCTATATATATCTTAAACTTCAGAGAAAACTTTTAGGTACCCATATTTCTGTGCTGCTCGGCAATCTCTTCAGGTTTAATTCAATTCTTTTTTCTTCTGTTAAATTCAAGGAAAATTCAATTCCTTATATTTAATAGTAACATGAATTTGAGCCCTTTTTTAGTAAAAGTCTCTTTCTCACTCTCCTTGAACTACATAGGGAGATATCTGAAGTTCCCCAAGGGTTAACATGGTTTATTCCCAGGTGGTAGAATTTTGGGTGACTTGTTGCCTTCTCCTTTGTGCACGTCTAGAAGTCTTTGATTTCTTAATAATGTGCATGTCACTTTTATTAAAACAACACAGGCTTTTAAAAATGTAAATAGCACTAAAAGGCATTTTAAAACCCATAAATCAAGTGTGTTGACATGTAGAATTTTCTGGGTGGAGCAAGAGAAAAGGGAGGTGGCTGGAAATGCTGCACCCATCTATCTTGTAGCTGCTTATCGGGGAATGTGAACAACACACTAGGACTTCTTAGTTGCCTTTGCTGAAGTGTCCATGGTTGAGGGGTTTGCCTCCCCTAAACTCTACATTTCTGAACTCCAATTCTTCAAAAAGCAAAACACTTAATTTCATTGATTTTCCTTAACAAACACTTCCGTAGCACTTAAAATGTGACAAGCACCGTACTAAGTGCTTTACAAATATTAACTCATTTAATCCTCATAATAACGCAATAAGGTAGATGCTATGATCACGCACCTTTTACAGATATAAAAACTCAGGCGCAGAGAAGTGAAATAACTTAGTTGATAACATAAATGCCCTGTTTGCAAACTACTAAGGATGACATTATCTTCTGGATAATCTGGATGCCACATTTTGTATTTAGCCATCCAGCTAATATTTGTTGGGTACTTATTGGACACTCCTGGCGATGCTGATTCTTGGGAGGCACTATGCAATGGAAACTGATGAACAGTTTAAAAGTATGTAGTGAGCTAGGACGACGCCACGGCACTCTAGCCTGGGCAACACAGTGAGACTCTGTCTCAAAAAAAAAAAAAAAAAATATGTAGACAAATAGGAGAGAAGGAAGATTCAGCTTGTGTTTCCAGGATATTCTCTGTGCTTTCTTCCACGACCCCATGAGCTGCCATGTGTGGGAATGTAGCTACTGGACAGTCTGATTTGTGCCTCGAGATGATGATTCTGAATCGCAATTTCTATCGGTGGTTGTAAACTGGAATCCTGTAGCGTCCAGTCTCTGCGGGGGTTGAGTGCTGCCTTTGTGTTAAATCCACAGTGGTTTTTTAAAAATCAAAATCATGTTTATCACACCATTACTTAAATAGGTACAAACAAAAAGTAATTTATAAATTTCTAGTGTTTATAGTATTAATAAATCAGAACCAAATAATGATAGAAACCTTCAAAACTTCACAACCAACAGAATTCAAATCAACATGGGTTCATGTCAGGAAAAAAATGTGAAATGACCAGAAAAAGATTACTGGGCATCCTGTCTAGTATACCCGTCCAAGTTTTCTCTGCTTTTTATTGTCTTTGACCTATTTTACAAATTTGTAAGCTGTAGAAAATTGATAGTAGTGAAAATTATTCTGGCCCACAGAAATACAAATGCATTGTGTTGTGTCCAGTGGCGATGCAGCGGGTTACTGCTCAGTGGACATGGACCAGTTTTACATCTATTTGTAAATACATTTCGGCATTCTTGATTGCCTCGTGCATTTTAAATTCTCCTTTGAACCAGGTGTCAGGTCTTACTGGTTCTTTCATTAATGAATGAGTTAAAATCTTTTACATATATTCATTTTATATTTGTGCGAGAAACAATTCTGCCTTTTCTAGAAATTATCCTTTAATATTCATTTAATGTGGCAATTTAATATTCATTTAATTGAAATTTAAGGTTTTGCTGATATGAGATTGCCTGTCAAATTTCTCCCTGTTTAAATACCTGGCAGCAGGCTCCTGTGGCATTTGTAGTAACTGTGGACATGAGTTTGTGACTCCCAGGTACTATTATATCCACATTTACACTCATATATTGTTGAGGTTTTAGAAACAATTCCTGGAGCTATTGGGCCTATATCTACTTCCTCGACCATTTGCTCCTCTCCTTTTCCTGCTATCCCTGGGCTACCTGTCCAGGCAGAAGTTCCCAAGAAAGCCCCTGTGGAGCAACTTGGGCCCCAGGGAAGGTAGGAATGTGAGTGCTTTGGAACTGAGACTTCTTCTTGATGAGTTATTTGGGTTGGTTTGACCTCTGCAACTTGTTCCTAAAGACTACTTCAGTAATTGTGCAGACAAGGGGTGAAAGAACCTCCCAACTCAGGTGGATTATGCTCATTTCTTAGCCTCTGAACCTGTGCTGTCTAATACAGTAGCCACTACCAATGGGGCTATTGAGACTTGAAATGTGGCTAGTGTGATTGAAGCATGGAATTGTTAATTTTTAATTTTAACTAATTTAAATTTAAAAACTGATGTTCGATTTAGTTATTTGAAAACATAGTACATTTGGAACCACTTGGATATGTGAATCTGCTTTTTAACCATACATTTTATGACATCAAAATACAGAACAAGTTCTCATAACAGTGAGGGTGGAGGTAAACAAATAAAAAACAAATAAATAAATACAGAACAAGTATTTTCCATGACAATTTCTCTCTCAGATTGACATATGCTGCAAATGTAAAATACACACCAGAGTTCAAAGTTTTTGCAAAAAAGAATGTAAGATTCCATTAATATATTTTTGTATTGATTACATACTGAAATGACAATATTTTGGGCATAGTGGGTAAAATAAAATATATTATTAAAATAACTTACACCTTTCTTTTTGTTTTTAGACGTGGTACTGAAATTTTAAGATCACATCCGCGACTCACATCATTGGAACAGGCCCCTCTGGACCGTGAATTCTCCCATTCTTCTCCACCTATTCCTTCCTCATTTACTATGCAGCACCCAGGTGGTTCTGAACTCCGCTTTTTTGCGTTGGATTCCTAATCCCTGGCACCTTTTTCTTCTTGCTAGGTGAGCCTACTGCCTACTTTTCCATGCACTTCCCAGGAGGGGTTTAGAGTTTCTGCACACCAAGAGCCCCCCAAAGACCTTACAGGAGTGGTGTGGCAATTGCAGACTCTTCCCGCCAGAGGGAGCTGCGTTACTGCTGTCGTTGCCAAGCAACTCTTCTTGGCCCGGAAGTAGTTCCCCGCCTCGTCGCGTAACTTCCAGCGGGCGCAGGCGCAGGGTGACTTCCGACGGGCGCAGGTGCGGGGTCGCGGCTAACCGGCCTCGGGAGCGGCGGCGGCAAGATGACCACACTCCGGGCCTTCACCTGTGACGACCTGTTCCGCTTCAACAACATGTGAGTGAGGCTCGCCCAGAGCCAGCCGTTCCTAGCCGGGCTCCGCTCCCTGGCCCTGCCAGCTCGGTCCGCGGCTGTCCCCTGCCAGCCGGCCCCCCTCACCTGAACCCGTTGGAGCCACCCCCGCCAGCCGACACGGCAGCCTCCCTCGGGGCCACGGGGTCCATGCGCGCCGGCCTTGGTGACCTTGGCCAAGGTGCTTCAACTTTATCCCTGGCCCCTGCGTGCTCGTGGGTACCGGGGCTGCGCTCGGGCCGCCTCTCAGGGTCGCTGTCAGGATGCGCTGGGTGATGGAGCGAGGAGGGGGATGGCCCTGAGCCTCCAGCCTGGGCTCGACGCCCGACTGCGCGGCTAGTGACCGGACAGTGACTCTTCTGGGAAGTGGGCACCCCTGAAGTACTGGCCGCAGAGGGTGGTTGCGAGGCTCGGAATGAAGTCAGGAGCCAAGTTTGTGTGGCACGTGTACACTGTGAAGCCCACCTGGTGGTAATGGTTAAATTGTATCTGAATGAAATAACTTTGTGACCCTTTTGCCCCACCGCAGCGGATGCGGTCTCAGTCGCTGCTGGTGTTCGTGTTGTTTAGTTACTGTAGCTGCGCGCCCTGGCGTAGACAACTTTTTTCTTTTGTGAGGAGTCTGGGCAGTGGGCGATGCTGGGTGAGGCTCCCATTGTGCACGGAGCCCTGGTGCAGTTTCTTTCGATCCGAGTTAAGGAGAGACCTATGACTTGCAGGTACTATTTTTTTTTTTAAAGAAAATACTTTCATTATGAAAATTTCTGAGCATTTAGAAAAGTTGAAAATTTTACCGTGAACTTTTGTAGACACACCACGGTTAACATTTTGTTACATTGGCTTTAACACATACCTCTCTATTTGTCCTCTCAGATTCACCTTTAACACATTAACTGCCATGTGAGTTGTATTTAACTCACTCGAGTTTTGAGCCTGGGGCCTCGTGAAGCATATGTAACTCACACATCTCTTTACCTTGGGAGTCAATTGAACTATCTTTCAAGCTGCATATAACTCATGCACAGAAAACAATAAAAAATAGCAAATTTTTCATTAAATTGAAAAGGATCCTTTTGTTCTCAGAGTTTTTATTTTTGTAACAACACACCATAGCCCCAAGGGAAAAAAATTTTTTTCTAGTGTGCCGGTCATTGTGTTAAAAACAAGGGGGCAGTATGTGAAAACTAATGATCAGGTAGTTCAGATTCAAGTGGCAGGAGATGGAAAGAACCTTAGAATGAGGTGGCTAGGAACATTTGAGAGAGGGGGTGAGCCTTGAAGGATGGGTAAAATGTTAGTGAGGAAGAAGTTAGTTCTGGAGAGGGGAGTCAGTTTGAAGCCGGGGAAACCTGAAGTGTGGTCCTTTTCTGTCACTGAGCAGTCAGAGAGAAATAGGTAATTCTGGACACTGGCTTCATCATTAAGAGGTTTACACTTGATCCTGTAGGAAGACTTTTCTACTGGGCCTCTCTGGATCAAAGCAGCATAGCTATGGTGACTTGTGTCAAACTCTAACTTTTCTGAGGGTTTTATGTAATAATCCAGTTAATCCTCACAATTCTGTGAGATGCTTTCATACCCATTTTATGTATGAGTAAACTAAGGTTTTGCAGGCTCAAGTGAATTGCCCAGGCGATGGAGCCTAGAGGTGGGAGTAGAGCAAGGACTCCTACCCAAGAAGATTGGCTCTGGAGCACTGGTTCTTAAAGAGTTGGTCCCTGACAATTCTCTGAGAATTTGAGCTGTTTCAGAACCACTGTTCTGGAGGCTAAACTCTCAACCACCGAGCTCTGTGGGGTGTGAGGTGATTAGAGGAGGTAAACCTGGCAGGTGAGCCATTTAGAAGGCCTTGGCAATGGCCCAGAGATGATGACTTGACAAATGCCTCAGTGTGGGAGGTAACAGGGTGCCTTGAAGCTTCAAGAATAGACAAGGGCTTGGAGAATCAGTTTTAACTAAAGAGCTAGGAAGGGACACTATTTTATAGAAGAAACATACATATGAACACTTACAATAAAACATTAGATTTCAGAGAATCATCTGGCTTGTTAAGTCCTCTTCAGAATATGCCATTAGGGGAACCCAAACTTCCTTCCCATTTTCTCCTATTTTCTTGCTTCTTGGATTAGGGCATTTTGGCAGAAAACTATGAGAGTCACTCAGATTTGTTGCAGTAGGAATTGAAAGAAGCAATGGATGTAGAACATTGCAATTCATTTAACAAACAGTATATTTATTCTTGGAAAAATATTTGAGTGCCTACTATGTGCCAGCACTAGAGGCACAGCAGTGAACAAAGACAAAACAAAAAATTAGTGTCTTTATGGAACCTACATTTTAAAGGGGAAACAAATACAACATGTAGAACTTAGTGCTCAGTACAAAGGAAAAAATAGAAGTAGGGAAGGGAAATGGGAAGTGAGTGGGGATTCGGCTTCAGACAGGGTGTACAGGGAAGTGAGGGAGTATATTGGGGGTGGGGGAAGCTTCCAGGCAGAGGGAACTAAGTGCAGGGATACCCCATTTCAAATAGGAAGAGGAGGTGAGTGAGCCTGGAGTAGAGTCAATTCGGGAGTGCAAGGGGACAACTTCAGAGAGTTAGAAGGGCTAGGTCTTGGAGAGGCCTTTATAGGACTTGGGCTTCTCTGCCAAGTGCACTGAGAAACCCAGGTGGAGAGGTAACATACGCATCTGGGTATGGGGGTCTCTAGATTGGGTCTGAGCTAAACATAGAAATTTGGGGGTCAACACTATAGATGGTGACAGGTGACCAGGAGAGAAGGTGACATCAGTGATGGAGTGAATGTAGATAGGAAAAATAGTCTTCAGAATGGCACCCTAGGGCATCAAGTGTTAGTGTTAAGGAGACAAAGTGTGTAGCTCAGAGAGGTGGGAGGAAACCTGATGGCAAGTCTCAGAAGCTGAGTGAAGACAGCATTTCAGGCAGAGGGAGTGGGGAACTTGCCAAGAGCTGCTGATGGCTAAGTGTACATCATATTTGTACATTTCTTCCAGGAAACAGACAGAAATTGAAGATGCAGATGCAGGAGAGAAAGAATTGCAGGAGCCAGTCTCAAGTGGGGTGAGGGAGTGGGATCTACTCACCAGCACTCTGCATAGTGACAGGAGAAGTAGCAGTAGCATATGGGTACATACAGATGCTTGTAGTAGGTAGTTCAGTGGTGGGACTTTGGTGAAGCTTTCTTCTCACTGTTAAATTTTCTCTCTGATGAAATAGGGAAGCAGCTGAGATAGAGAAGGGGCGGCCTATTCGGGAATGGTGGCAGAGCTAGAGGAGATGGAGCAGTCATTGAGAAATGTGGGAGAGTGAGTCCCCCCACTGTGTGGGAGCAGTGATCCTCCAGGTGTGGTTCGGTGGGGGGTCCCCAAGATTGTTTTGGGAATTCTGCAAGGTCAGAGTTATTTTCATGATAATACTAAGATGGTGTTTTGCCTTTTTCACTCTCACATTCTTGTAACTGTGCAATGGAGTTTTCCAGATATGTGATCTTTCAACAGCAAGCATAACAAATGCTTGAAAGTCCACCTACACCTGTCTTTTAAGCAAGATATTGCCAAATTGTTAAAACAATGCCATTGTTGTCACTAATTTTTTTTTGTTTTTGGAAATACAGTGTTTTTTGGTAAAGTTATTCATTGATTTATTATTTTTAAATGAATAAATATTTTAAAAATTTAAGTATCAGTAGCTATAACCCACATAAACAAAATTTCTTTGGCAGTCCGCACCCTCCGCTCCCCAGTGTAAATAGATTCTGAAAACAAAATTTTGAGAACTGCTGGACTACAGAAATGTAGTATGACTGTCTGGCAGGGTCTCAAAGAAGAACTTTACTGGAAATGGGAAGAGGAACAGTTGAAAGTACCTGGTTGTGAGCCTGGCAAACTAGGGGCTCCACTAATTGAATAGTAAAGTGAGGAGACAGAGCTATTTGGGGATGGAGGAAATGGTTTTTCAGGATGCAGATTTGGGAATGGTGTGATGGGATGTGCTGGTGAGGCACCCATGGCACCAGAGCCAGGTTGGGAGCCATCCTCTGAGGACACGTGATTGAAAGTATAGGAATGGGGTGGTGGGGAAGGAGAGGTGGGAATGTAGAAGAGGAGTGGGAAGCGAAAACCAAGTGGCCAAGTGGCAGGAGTGCTCACATATAGAGAGCAGAATAAAGGAGAAATTGTCAGGGAAGACCCAGAGACAGAGGGAGGATCCTTGTGGTTAGATGCTGCAGCAGGTGAGTTTGACCTTCTTTCTGTGTGCCTTCTTGGTCCCCAGTTTCATTAACAATTTATTGTAATTTAGAAAATGCAATTAACTGATGTAGATTTATTAACTTTATTTCGTAAAGCAGCAGTTAAATGAAAATGTATAAATACCTTTACAGTTGCTGTGACAGCTTACTGTGGACATTAAATAGTTTAAACCATTTTCCTTTGCCTTAAAGTTGGTTTTAAAGTTGTTGATTAAGCATGTTGTTTTCCTTGTGGCATATTATTTTTAGTTTTAGCAGGTTTTTGTAAACATTGCTTACTACTGACATTTCTCTTGTTTCTTTCAGTAACTTGGATCCACTGACAGAAACTGTATCCTTTTTTAAAAAAGTTGAATGAAGATTTACTAAAAGTAAAGAAAATGGAGAAACAAAAGGGAAAAACAGATCTGAGTACTGAAAATTTAAAAACTTGTAGGTCAGGAAATAACACAAACAACACTGAAAGCAATTAAAAAAAATAACTGAGAACAAGAGTTGTCTTATATCTGCCTGACAAACTGTTAACATAATGACCTCATATAAACCTGTAACATTACAGCTCCCCTACCCACCCAGCCCTCAGTAGTAAGCATAGCTGTGTACAATAGAAAGCACAGTGACTTCAACAAGATGGCTTATTTCTCTGTGATATGAACAAAGTCTGGCGATGAGCAGTCCATGACAAGCCATGGTTCCATGAAGTCACCAGCAACTGTGCTCTTTGCAGTTTAACGACTCTACCATACCTAGGGTGCCCTTAGTCTTCCTTTTCCAGGTGGCTGCCTGAATCAAAAGAGGGAAGGCCGGGCGCGGTGGCTCATGCCTGTAATCCTAGCACTCTGGGAGGCCGAGGCGGGCGGATTGTTTGAGCTCAGGAGTTCGAGACCAGCCTGAG